ACAAATAAAGGAACTTCCTAGTAATCCCATTTGTTTTAGGAGCTCAGTTATAACATCTTCTTTAAAATTCGCTGTAAATCAGTCGTACATGAGCATTAGGTATTGAAATAGGCGCTGTGACCTTGTGATCGCTCAAACGCTTCTGATTGACTCGTCCATAAATTATAGTCTCACCCGTATTATAATTTCATCCTCTGAGATTCGAACTTAGTACTGTTTGCTTCGAATGTCATTACATCCCGCAGTGAACATCAACCCTGTGCTGCAGGTACATTCAACTGATGAGTCCAAAATAGGACGAAACGCGCGTTAAACTGGATTCCATTGCTAGCCATTATCTACGTTTGGTTATTAGCATTTCTATGTTCTTTTTCTTCAAAATTATTTTCAAGTTAGCATCAAATTAATGCGAATGAATTTAATCAGAAGTGCTATTGCATATACAAAATGTTATGGTTAGCTATTTGAATGTAATATGTATATAACATATATTTGTATATATATATTACCTTGTCAACCTTGTCTATTAGTTTTATGCCTTACCTGAACGTCAATTTCTAATCATAGTTAAACAGAATGCTTTTTCGTATTAGTTTAACATTTTGTAAGTGATCTACAATCATATTAACAGTAAATATTCAAAATGTGAAACATCATCTAAAGTATCACATTCGGTAGCATATAATTCATAATATCGTATTAAAAATTGCAAGTGGATAGATCTGTTTCAGGGTCATGTGGATATCCAGAAAACGGCCGTCCAGTGCCTGCAAGTTTTCGATAATGGTTTAGCTTCAATTGACTTATGATTTCAACTATTGAAATTATTAAAATCTCCACAAAACGCCTTCTTATATTAACCATCTACACACTAGTGACTGACTTCAAGAGGCATTTCCTGAATTTCTAGTGAGAAGCAGTGACCAGTGGAGTTCAACCGAGTCTGTTGTGAGATATCAGCTCATTGAAGACAATGGTGGATGTGTCGCTCAAATTTGTTGATTAGTTGAAGTTAGATATTAACACTGTTGGATGCGGGCAAGTTCAGTGGTCTAATGGTTAAGCGCTCGCGCTTGAGAACTATAGATCCTGTATTCGAATCATGTGAGGTGGGATCGGAGATACGCACTTCTGAGGAGTCCTACACTTGGACGAAACGACCGTCTAGTGCTTCCAGATTTTCCATGATGGTCTAACTTCAATTGACTCATGATCTCAATTATTAAAAATACTCAGAAATATTTAGTTAAAACATATTGAAACAACATACCTGTAGACTTCATCAATATTTGCTTAAAAATAACTTTTTATTATCATAACAGAGAATTACGCCTTCCTCGAATCAAACTCTGAAGAATTAAAACAAAGTGAGTTTATTATTATTTTTTTCATGGCATGTAAACTAATAATACGTAACTGACTGAGTACGACGATGATTGAATACTACGAAGTACAATAATCTTGTTTTAGTAGGAAATGTTTCTGGAACGTATATCGTCGACGACTTCATCAGGGATTGATCTCAGAAACTTTGAGTTTCACTACGAGAGTTGTTCCGTGGTTGATACTTAAACGATAAATACTTTAAGTAGTTTATATATCATTGGAAAAAAAGCATGGTAACCAAAGACCAAATAGAGTAATTCATTATTTCATCACAATACAAAACTTATAGATGCTAATGAATTTATCATTAGAATCCAGGAGATTCCTTTCATCCTATTTGGAACTGATCAACTGTATTTACGTACATCCACTATTAGACATCATCTATTTCTGTTAAAAATACTCGTGATTTATTGGTAATATCAAGGCAATCAATATAGGGTTCACATATGTCAACAAGTAACTGATCAGTTCTAGACCTAAACATCAATGGGAAGATCCGAACAACTAATATATATGAATTAATAGTCAATGAACTGTTTCAATGTTCATTGAGATTATGAATCGATCAATGTTGTTAGGCTATTCTAGAAAACGTGGAATCACTGAATGAAAGTTTTATTCTAGTGGGGGACTTCTTAACAATATACATCCACAATGCTTAGAGTAGAACTCAAACTCAGGAATTTCGGTTTTATACAATCATTATTTTTAAACTATCAACTTATATCAGAAGGGATTTTGTGGAGATTTTAAAAATTTCAATAGTTGAAATCATGAGTCAATTGAAGTTAGACCATCATGGAAAATCTGGAAGCACTAGACGGTCGTTTCGTCCAAGTGTAGGACTCCTCAGAAGTGCGTATCTCCGATCCCACCTCACATGATTCGAATACAGGATCTTTAGTTCTCAAGCGCGAGCGCTTAACCATTAGACCACTGAACTTGCCCGCATCCAACAGTGTTAATATCTAACTTCAACTAATCAACAAATTTGAGCGACACATCCACCATTGTCTTCAATGAGCTGATATCTCACAACAGACTCGGTTGAACTCCACTAGTCACTGCTTCTCACTAGAAATTCAGGAAATGCCTCTTGAAGTCAGTCATTAGTGTGTAGATGGTTAATATAAGAAGGCGTTTTGTGAAGATTTTAGTAATTTCAATAGATGCGCACTGCTGAGATGTCCCACTACTTCCAGGTTTTCCATGATGGTCTAGTTTGAATTGATTCATGATTTCAAGTATTGATGTCAACTTATAGTCAAATATTAAGGTTTATTAAGCTCATATTGAAGCATTTTCATTTTTTAATACGTAAAGTTTATCTGTGCTCAAATATTCTATACTCAGATTACTGCTGACATGGTAAATTCAATCTTGGTCTTTTTACATTATGACAATCTACTGATATGTTAATGATGATTATCTTGATTCACAGGGGATAAACAAATAGAAATCCAACATCAGGCATATCAAAACGCCTATATGAAATTGTCCAATGAAATGTGTAAGTTAAATAAATCACAAATGATATTTGTTAAACATGTTTTCTAATATTGATTGATCCACTAAATGGTTGCCACTTAACTTGACATTAAGTCAAGTATGTTATGATAATTATCATAGTAATCCACGAAGTTGCGCCACCGTATACCATTGTCATCAGTGAGCTGATATCTCACAATAGACCTGGTTGAACACCACTGGTAACGGCTTCCCACTAGAACTACAGGAGTATCTCTTGAAGTCAGTCACTAGTGTCCAGATGATTATTATCAGAAGGGGTTTGTGGAGATTTGAGAAATTTCCACAGATTGAAATCATGATTCAGTTGAAGCTAGACCACCATGGAAACGGCCGTCCAGTGCTTCCATGTTTTCCATGGTGGTCTAGCTTCAATTGACTCATGATTTCAATCTGTGAAAATTTCTAAAATCTCCACAAACCCCTTCTGATAATTATCATAGTAGTCAATATTGGTAAAGAAGATTTGTAGCTCATATGGATGATTTTGATAGAATACTTCACTACTACATAAAGTTTGTGTTGATGTTGTTGTTCAATAGAACAATGAAAGTTCCAAAACCAAACTACCCATCTCAAAGAAAAAACCTCCATCTTAGTAAAATCTGAGAATCATACAGTAATTACTTCATTTTCGAAATGTCAATCAATCGTCTCAGAATGTATTGTTATTTCATTTCCCTATCAATCACTCTCCTCGTCCTCTTGTGCATTGTGGAGATTGCTGAGTTTAGATTAATATCATAAATGAATCAATGTTAGATCGGCATTGAAAATCTGGAAGTACTGGACGGCTGTTTTATTCTAGTATAGGACCCGTGAGCAGTGCGCATTCACGATCCATGACGCGAAATTCGAACACAAGATCTTCGGTTTCATGCGTGATGATTCGTGGATGTACACCGCTCATGAGTTATATATTAGGACAAAACAAATATCCAGTGCTTTCAGGTTTTCAAAAGTGGCCTAACATTAATTCATTCATAATATCAATAGAGAATTATATTTCATAAATTTTATTTTTTGTAGTTACATTTTACAAGCTGTTAAGACAGGTTGAATTACAGACAGTACAAGTACTTGAATGTAAGTTGAAATTGATTCCCGTTTCGTTATCAAAAATTTAACGTTTAAGTGGTGCCTCAAACGGAAAGAATAAAAATGTTGAAGCACTCAATGTATCAGGAAGGTAATTCAGAATACGATTATATTCATAACATTTATAAGAAGCAAAAATTTATTCATCATCATCATCAACATCATCATCATCATCATCCAAAGCATCATCATCATCATCCAAAGCATCATCATCATCATCCAAAGCATCATCATCATCATCATCATCATCCAAAGCATCATCATCATCATCATCATCCAAAGCATCATCATCATCATCCAAAGCATCATCATCATCATTCAAAGCATCATCATCATCATCATCATCATCATCCAAAGCATCATCATCATCATCATCATCATCATCATCATCATCATCATCATCATGCCTTCTCCTTTTTCTTTTCAGTTCGTTTTATTTTGCCTTTATTGTGGGTTAGTACAATACGTTTTTATGAAACTTTACTTTTCAATTAATCCTATGTAACAATTTCTTGTGATCTGTGTGACATTTTTTATCTTTTTGGAATATGAATTGAATGGAATACTGTTGAACTCTCAATTCTGTAATTTATTTGCAAGAATAATTTTTTACAATGGAGTATATTATAGGCAATTATGAATACACCTTAGCTTCCAAATGCCTAGGTACGGCCTGGGGCAACGATAGTCAGCTTAGCCTCTCGAAATGCCCTGATATTACCACTGTCAAGGAAGTACTACTCACTGACGTCTCGCGGCATTATTGTTGTTTACGAAATTGAGATTGCAAAAAGCGAATGTCCGGAGCTGTAAGCGGGTTCGTAGATATTAAGTATCGACCTAGAGAAGTTGGGAAACCCGATTCCAAACCAATGGTGAGCATGAGCTTCAGGATCCTGGAGGAACAAATGGTGTATTACCATTTGTTGGTCAACGGCCACCATATGACTGCATCTACTGACGTCGCTCCATTACCATGTGGATTAGACCTTTATGTCGAAGGCTATGGCTGTGGCCCCCTAGGAAATCCACCTGCTTCTGTCTAAGTACCGAGATAGTATAACTGCTCACACACAAATCAAGTGAATTTTGTGGGGCATATGTATTCGGTGCACCTTTGTACCAATATTTATGTGTTAAAATAAATAAATAAATCTAGAAACATGTTGATATAGAATAAATGGAATGTAGCTAGCAGTGGAATCATGGATATGTGTTTTGACCTATTTAAGTCTCGTCAGCTTCATGCATCTGCCTCTCAGAGTTGATATTCAGGATTAATATTCGTGTATCATAATGGCTATATCGAGGCAATCCGCACTGGATATGCATATTTTAACCAAGATTGATCAAATTTCAGTTGAAATATTAACAACGGAATATTTCAAACTATTTTTTCAAATTGATATAATGAAATATTATGCTTATATTATCTCATTATCCAGCTTACATTCTATCTGAAAATACATCTTAGTCATTCAGGTATTACTGGTACATACTTACTTACGCCTGTTAATCCCAATGGAGAATAGGCCACCGACCATACTCTAAACCAATCTGTTCTGGGCCTTCTCTCATAGTTCTATCCGATTGTTGTTCATTCTTCTCATATCTGTCTCCATTTTTCAGTGCTATGTGTTCTTTGATCTTTCTCTTCTCCTTTGGCCTCGATTATTTCAAGTCATGAGAGCGTGCCTTGCGACACAGTTGAGTGCTTTCCTAAATGTACTTCCTATCCACTTCCGACCCTTCTTCCTGATTTCTTCTTCCACTGACAGCTGGTTTATTCTCTCCAACAGTAGGTTGTTTCTGATAGTGTTTGATCAACGGATACGAAGTATTTTGCCTAGACAACTATTAATAAACACTTATATCTTCTGGATGATGACTTTCGTAGCTCTCCAGGTTTCCGCCCCATACAGTAGAACTGTCCTGACATTTGTATTGAAAATTCTGACTTTGGCGTTGGTTGACAATTGTTTTGAGTTCCAGATGTTCTTCAGTTTTAAATATGCTGCTCTTGCTTTGTCAATCCGCACCTTAACATCTGCATCAGATCCACCGTATTCATCAATGATGCTTCCCAGATATGTAGAGGTTTTTACGTTTTCCAAAGCTTCTCCATCAAGTGTTACTCAATTGGTACAGGTACATGCTTAAGACAAACCCTATTTCCCTATTTATGTGAAATGATCAATCAGTCAAAGTGATCATTGTCCTTGAATTCACTATTGTTAGAACAAATCAAATTGTATGAAGAGTTAGGCATTCTTTGTCGGTATACGTGAATACATTCAAGACTATCTAATTACTGTTTACTCAAGTTGTAACTGTGTTGTTTTATAAGCAAATATTGTAATGTAATAGAATGATTTCTGATTCAATAACGAATAGACATGATCTAGGAAAACATATAATTAATGGAGTTACAATTACTTGTGTTGTCACACATTTTAATATTCTATATACAGTGACATATTACACAAATACTGACCACCCATACACCAATTGTTTATTTAAAAACTAAAGTGACCGAATTGATTACTGTCTGTATTGTCCTGTAATAGTATTATCTATTACAGGATAGTGGATGATAAGCAAAAAATAGATTTTGGCTAGCAATAGAATCCGGTTTGACGAGCGTTTTGTCCTGTTTGAGACTCATCACCTGGATGAGTGAGACTATAATTTATGGACGACCTTTGAGTGACATTATTCTGACCTTGAGAGTGTCCACCTTATAACTAGAATCAAATCAGGGTTGTAAATCAGTGTAAGGAATTAGAATTATGATTTACAATTGATGGTTAAGGTTAACAATTAGATATATGGTTTTCATCACGAGCTGACATCAGCAATAATGCGAAAAATGTATTTAACCAAATGGATGAACGAATTTCGCGCCAAAATCCGAGACCTTTAACCTGATTGGCTCATTCATAAATTATAGTCTCGCCACTGGATGTATCTGGATCCCATAGTTGATGTTCACTCCGGGATGCATATATGACAATAGGAAACTAATCTAATGCATTTTTCAATATCAATGGAATAATTCAAGCAAATCATACAAAATGAATTTACACTAATGGATAATCTTTTAAACACATTGTGTTTCCTGTGAATTAATTTCTGGTTAACGTTTTGTTCTTTTAGTGAGTTAGTTTTTTACGGGATGGGGTCACTAACCCTATGCCTAACCTTCCTCCTTTATCCGGGCTTAGGATTAACAGTGGCCCCAGAGGGGGCTTCAGGTGGAGTTTGTTTTCTGTGACATTTTACTCACTAAACAAGTTGAATATTCATCATCATATTATTGTTAAATGGATACTTATGCCAGAGAGGGTTTTGTGGAGATTTTTAGAAATTAAACTAATTGAAATCATGAGTCAACTGAAGCTAGACCACCATGGAAAACCTGGAGGCACTGGACGACCGTTTCGTTCTAATATGGGACTCCTCAGCAGTTCGCATCCACGATCGCCCACCCCACGAGATTCGAACACAGGACCTGTCAGTCTCGCGTCAGGCGCTTAACCAACTAGACCACTGGGCCGGCACCCAACGGTGTGGGGTCGTGGATGAGCACTGCTGAGGAGTCTCATACCAGGACGAAACGGCCGTCCAGTGCTTCAAGGTTTTCCATGATGGTCTGACTTCAACTGACTCATGATTTCGATCAGTGAAATGGATACTTACTCTATTCGTTTGTTTGCTTTTTTTTAAACAGGAAACCAGAATGAACAAATGAAAACAGTCTCAAATTTTTTCATTAAAGTATATGTATTCTATAAAGTGCATATTTCATTACAAAGCATGAATAAATAGATTGTTAGATTATGCTTGATTTTGTTTAAATGAACTGTTGCTATCGCAATAGTGTTGTGTATTGTTAGCTTGATATAAAAACGAATCAAATGATGAAATTACTTTAATAGTTATATTCATAAGTTGATATATGCTAGAGCATCATTGGAAACCTGAAAACACTGGATAACCGTTTCGTCCTTGCATGGGACTCCTCAACAGTGTGCATCCACGATCTTATATGCGAGACTTAAACCCAGAACCTTTGATATCGTATTCGAGCGCTTAATCTCTAGATCACTGAGCTGGTATACAACAGTGTTAATGTCTAATAGAAGGTTCAACATTATATCTAATTATAAAATTACATGTAAATTACAATTCTGATAGTATACCGATGACAAGGTATGCAGTTGAATTAACTTTAGCACATGAAGTTTAGGTTTTTGTTTATATTTCTGGAGGAATTTATCGGTACATCTAAATCATACTATAATTGGTAAGCTTTAGTTTAATCAGGATAATGAGTCTCTATCGTCTAAATAGTTCATTTGTACTTACTATATAACTTCTTATTTAGTTACTGTTCTGTTTCTTTAGGCAAATGAATCAGTATTCATTAACCATTCAAAAGTTCAAATATCATATTGATAACCATGAGTTTATAACAGCTTTCAAATGTAAAATATTATGATTTGATCTTCTATTGATCTGTTTACTTGAATACATAATCATTGATACAAGGGGACACCAATGTATACATATATTTACTTACTTACTTACCTACGACTGTTAACCCTCATCGAGGAGTATAGGCCACTCATCAGCATTTCACATCCAAACCTGTCATGGGCAATCCCTCACAGTTCTTTCTAGTTGTTATTCATCCTTTTCATACCTGCTTCCGATTCTCGGCGGAGTGTGTTCTTTGGTCTTCCACTTTTCCACTTTCACTCAGGATTCCATATTAGGGCTTGCTTCATGATGCAGTTTGATGATTTGCGTAATGTATGTCCTATCCACTTCCAACGTCTTTCCTAATTTCCTTCTCAACTGCAAGCTGGTTTGTTCTCTCTCACAGTAGATTGTGGTTGATGGTATCCAGTCAATGGATGTCGAGTATCTTGAGTAGACAACTATTTATAAATACTTGTACCTTCTTGATGATGGTTGTAGTAGTTCTCCACGTTTCAGCTCCGTGCAATAGAATTATCCGTCTTGAAATTCGTATTGAAGATTGTGACTTTGATATTGATTGACAGATGTTTTGAGTTCCAAATGTTATTCTATTGTAGGAATGTGACACTCGCTTTGCCAATCCTCTCCTTTACATCTCTATCGGATCATCCTTGTTCATCAATGATGCTTCAGCAGGAAACTCTGGACCCGGGTTTCGTGCTACTTGACACTCGTCAGCAAGGTGTACCTGTAATCTTGAGGGAACTGGTGCTCCCTGGCGGATTCGATCTCGTGTCACCCAACTTCACAGTTATTGGTAGTATTTGTTAATAGTATATATCAGTAATATCTAATAGTAGTATGTATGTAATGATACTTATTTATTAGTTCTGCATATTGACGGTATTCATTCGTAGTATTTGTATGTATTCTTTTATTAGTAGTATATACTACTAGTTAGTTAACAGTAGTATCTTCAAGTCGTATATATTCATTTAGATTCATTTCTAAATATCGTATATGAGTATTGATCTAGTACTATTTATTAACTAATTATATTCATCGATGTTTATTTACTAGCCTGAAGTTTGTGGTGATAATGAAAGCTCCACGACTAAAGCATCCAGCTCAGGGAACAAAACTCCATCAAAAGTATTTATTAGTACTTACATACCTATTTTGGCCTGTTATTCCCAATGGAGAATAGGTCACTGACTAGCATTCTCCAACCCAATCTGTCTTGGGTCTTCCCTCATAGTTCTATCCGATTGTTGTTCATTCTTCTCATGTCTGTCTCCATTTCTCGGTGTATTATGTTCTTCTTTGATCTTACTCTTCTCCTTTAGCCTTGAGGATTACAAGTGTGAGCTTGCCTTGTGATGTAGTTAGGTGCTTGCCTCAATGTATGTTCTACCCACTTTTAGCACTTCTTCCTGATGTCTCCCTCTGTTGGGATCTGGTTTGTTCTCTTCCATAGTAGATTTTTTGCTGATAGTGTTTGGCCAACGGATCCGAAGTATTTTGCATAGGCAACTGTTAATAGACACCTGTATACTCTGAATGATAACTATCGTAGTTCTCCAAGTTTCCACCCCACACAGTAGTAGTATCTATAAATGCTACCAATTCATAATTTTTACACTAAAGCAATTATTCACCAATAGTACTCATTAGTATCTAATTACTAGAAGTATTGATAGATATTTACAGCCTGTGTTATTCTTTGTGAATTCTGTCGTTTTATCAGTATTGTTTGTCAGTTTTATTTTTCTGTATTTTTTTCTGGAATTTTTTTAAAAAATAATTCCCTTTTTTCATAAGTAAAGGTGGATAATGGCAAGCATTGTAATTCAGGACATGTGTTTCGTCTCTTCAGCTGGGTGTACTTACATCTCAGAGTTGATGTTCACTTCGGGACTCGATTCCAGTACTAGTCACGTCAAACGTCATCGCGTTATTCACTTAGCTACTGACCAGCCTCAAATAGGGTGAAACTCAACCCCTAGCTTCCACTCCTAACCACTATCCATCAACTTGTGAATTAAGGCAATATCGAGGCAATACGTAGAGTATGCACATATGTCAATAAGAGACTGATCAATTGTAGTCCTGAATATCAATGAAAAGATTCTAATAAACAATATCATCAAGTGGGAAAGGGTTTTGTGGAGATTTTAGTAATTTCAATGATAGAAATCATGAGTCAAGTAAAGCTAGACCATCATGGAAAACATGGGAGCACTGGCTGGCTGTTTAATCGCAGTATTCGACTCCTCAGCAGTGCGTTTCCACGATTCCGCCTAGCAAGATTTGAGCCTAGGATCAAGGCCTTCCAGTGCTTTCAGTTATTCTATGGTGGTCTAGCTTCATTTAACTCATGATCTCAACTATGAAAATTACTTTTTCTGTTGGATATATTTCACTACTTATAAGTAGTTCAATATTTAAATCTAAATTCATTCAAAATTCACTTGGTGTTGCTTTACTTGTATCTTCCTATTGTTGTTTAAGATTGCAGTTGATCAGTCTCTTATTGGCATATGTATATCCTCTACAGATTGCCTCGATATTATCCTAAGTCACAAACAATTCATAGGCAAAGATGGATAGTGACGCAGTGAAATCTAGTTTGATACACGTTTCGTCCTATTTAGGTCTCGTCGTCAGTTAGATGTACCTACCTACAACCCGTAGTTGATATTCACTCCGGGACTCGAACCCAGTACCATTCATTCACTCAATTATTATTATTATTATTATTATTATTATTATTGAAACATGTATATCCTTTTGATACGGTTTAAAACAACACAATGACCAAAACATCAAAGAAATAATACATTTCTCTTTATAAAATGGACAATAGTAAACTTGATTAGATCATGGAAATTCCAGGAAAAACAAACAAACAAACAAATGGAGACCATCTTTTTGTACTTTTTTAAAAAGTTCATAAAGTTGATTGAGTTATTCATTAAATGAATTGAATACTGTTTGTAAATTTTGAGAATGTAGTCAACATTTTCATTTGTGTTTAATATAATAAATAGGTAAAATGAATGAGTTCATTATCTTTGAAGTATTTTGAATTAATAGAATGCTCTACGAAGTTCTGCAACATTCTTAAGTATATAATTATGACTTGTACGTAGATTACTACTATGTGATACTTCAACCCATTTACATTGTTCTTCTGTACCAGGTTCATTGAGTAACTATGGGAAAAGAACAAAGAAAAAAATTTTTTGATTAAGATCATAAATCGATTGATGTTAGCCCCAAATGCCCTAATGCGGCCGAGAGTGGGAAGAGTCCGCTCTCGTTCTACAAATGCTCTCACATGGCCACGTGTACATGGCCTCTGATAGGGAAGTCCTACTCACTGCCTTCTCACACCACGGGTGTTGTTTACGAAATCGAGAGGATGAAAAGCGAATGTGCGGTGCTTTAACAGAGTTGATGGACATGGAGAGTCCATCCAGGGGAGCTGGAAAACCCTGATTTCAAACCAATAGTGCACATGTGCTCCAGTATCCTGAAGGAACAAATGGCGTATGAACCAATCGTTGATCACCGGCTACCATGGGAATGCACCTCCTTACGTTGCTCCACTGCCTTATGGATCAGACCTAGATGTCGAAGGCTCGGGGTATGGCCCCCTAAGAAAACCACCTGTTTCGGTCTGGGCACCCGGGCTGTATCATAGCCCTCACACCTATCAAATGAGATTTGTGTGGCGCATATGTATTTGGTGCCTCTTGTACAAATATCTGTGTTAAAATAAAATAAATAAATAAATAAATAAAGATCACCATTGAAAAACTTGGAAGTACTACACAGCCGTTTTGTCCTATTATGCGACTCTTCTGCAGTGGACATCCATGATCCCGTTCCGTGGGATTCCAACCGAAGACCGGTTGGTCTCGCACACGGACGCTTAACCTCCAGGCGATTGAGCTGGCATCCAACGGTGTTAATGTCTTACCTCAACCAATCTACGGAATTGAGCGACCATCTTTCATTTTACTGAGGTAGATACCTATCTCTACTCGACACGGATTGAAGATGCGGTTGATGCCTCATTCACTGATATACCGCGAGATTTAAAGATCCTAGCCAAAACAGCCTGTTGTCTTATGTGGTACAATGTTTTGACAATAAAAGCATCAACATGTAGTTTAGAGTGTGGTTTCAGCGGACCAGGAATAACATTTCGTGAACTCAAATCATTAACATTGATGGTTCATGATAATAAAGCTGTGAGAAAGTGTATGTATCGGGATACAGAAAATATTAAGAGGTTAGAGAGGAATTTGATCGTCAACAAGACGATCTTGGATGTTGTTATAGGCTGCTCGCACAACATATTACATTGATCTGATATACTTCATCATCTCATTGAATGGTCTAAACTCATAAAAGGGACAAATTATTTTGAATTTTTTTTATCGAGATCATGAATCGACTGATTTTAGACCATCATTAAAAAACCCAGAAGCATTGGACTGCCGTTTCGTCCTAGTATGGGACTCCTCAAGAGTACGCATTCACGATCCCGGGATTCAAATCCAGGACCCGTCGTTATCTCGTGCGAACGCGAAAATATTCAATGATGAACAAAGGTTAATGCCAAACTAATTGAATTTATAAACTAGGAATAGAAATATCCAGGATGAGGAGAGTCCTTTATCTCTCTCCAAACGCTCTCATATGGTCACCTATATACAGCTACTATCATGGAAGTCCTAATCATTACCTTCGCACCAGGCGTGTTTTTACTAAATTGAGAGGACGAAAAGCGAATGTCTGATACTTTAACCGCGTTGGTGGATATGGAGGATCCACCACCTGAAGGGAGTTGAGAAACCCTGATTCAAAACCAATGGTGTACATGGCCTCCGCGATCCTGAGGGAACAAATGGCTCATAAACCTATTGTTGCCTACTGGCTATCATGAAATCACAGCTCTTAACGTTTCTCCATTGCTTTATGGATTAGAACTGTAGGCCAAAGGTTCGAGAAATGATCCCTCCCCCCCTTTAAGTGTGTTGTTTTTATGTTGAATAGATTTTTTTGTTTCAAAAGAAAAATCCAATTATAATATAACTTACCTTTAATATGTCATCTGGTAGTTGAGCTCCTTTACTCTCCGATTCATGTAAATTAATCACAACAGTTTCCATCCATGCACTATCCGCATTTAACTGATCATCTAAGTAACCTTTAAAAATCTAAAAAATGTTACATAAAAGAGAAATACTTTGAATTTGATTGAACACTAAACAGAAATATAAGAGACTATTTAAAATGTATTTCCAATATAGCTCGTTGGGAAAGGATGGCTTAGCATGATAAGATGTAATCAAGGGGGATCATAGAAACAGAAATAAACCAGTTGGGGGTAGAATGTTTAAGGAGAAGATGAAAGGGGAAGCAGATGGCTATAAAAGAAGAAGAGTATGAAGAAAAAAATTATAACATATTAAAACCATGGTAGAAGAAGAGGTTGTACCAGTCTCTTTTGTACACATAATTCTGGTTTTTCAAAATGTATGGCTATTGCCTCGGCAATGCAAAGAAGATGCAGTCTAATTGTCTTAGGAAGCCTTCTACTTACCTTGTAGATGACTTTGAACGCAGAGTTTGTCTTGATTGAATGACCTGTTTTCATAAGGTGTTCGATTATTGGACTTCTTATTAAACCGTTTCCACCTCTTCTTAGTCACTCCGGTTAATGTTCTAGAATGCTTTTGGATAAATTATGCATTGAACGACCTATATACCTGGCTATATATGAGAAGGTACATTGATAAATGCACATTGAGTTGGTCACATGACGTAATTTATCCTTAAGATTATTGATGAACAATGATCAACTGGAGAATACTATTCGCAATGTTGCTGTTAAGAACGGTCATTTTAAAGAATCAGAAATTCTACTGTTTAAGACGTATGTGGCTCTGTCACTCTTAACGTCACTGTTCATGTATAATGTTTTCTTTTCGATTGATGTTATTTGTGTTTTCAGCGGTTTCAGTTTCGGATCAGGCACATACATGCATTAGTCCATGTTGCCATAGCGCATTAGCACAACAAGATGAACACCGGATTTATAGAAGTAGTTAATTCAGTGGTGGTAATATATAAAAGAAAGATTTTGCATATAAGGATATAATACAAGATGAAAGAATTAGTTCGTAGAAGGAAAAGTATAAAGTAATTTTAATCTCATGGTTGAAACGAAAACAAAGAGTGTATACACCTACACCATTGTGACCAATTCTGAACTATGTTACCCGGAGTCTCCGACCATTGGTTACGATAGTCGGGTAGACCGCAACCAAGTAGTCTGCATCTACCAACATAGCTAAGACCAGAAATTTGTGACTTCAAAGACTGATGCCATGTTTTGATTTGGCCATCCCTAACTTTCTTCCAACCATCCACAACACTAGTCATATTATTATTACGTAATAGTTATTGAATTTATAGAATAAGACTATTAAGATGAAGCTTGGCAATACACTCTCCATTGATTATAAGAGATATTTATCTTCTGGAGGAATTAAACTTATTAACCAAACTTATGTGATCGGTAGTTGTGTATTACAAAAACGTTTGTAGTGAAGGAAGACATGGAGGGGGGTTGGAAACTCATTGAGTTGTCCTTTACATAATTCATCATCCTGTTGTTATTTCGATTTCTCTTCAATTTTCTTCTTGTTCTATTCATTACAATCATCTCTATCTTCTTTTGATAGGCATTTCACTTTCGACTGGTGCTACATACTACTTATATCTGTAAGCATAAGTAGCATACACTACAGGTTTTCTACCACTCTAACAAGAGTTAATATTTACCTACTTACTTACGCCTGTTACCACTCGTATAGGAGTATAGGCCGATGGTTAAAGACCCTGAATGACATGGCTGAAGTCGTTTGTAATGGAGCAGGTGCATACACTCTTTGTGTTCTCCCAAATTTTGATCTCCTTATTCCTCCTTGTCTCTTTTTTTTCTCTTCGCAAATTTATTTCACTGTATTATACTCTTTAAATAACATCTCCAAATACTAAATTTCCCGATTACTGCTTATACTTTTATTATCTCTACCACTATGGGATTTGAATCGACCACTGCATCTCTGTGTTAACGTGGTGTTGCAACTCGAACTGATGTACGTACTTACGAAGTTCTACGTTTTCACTGACTGACTGACTGATAGGCCACTCATCAGCATTTCACATCCAAACCTGTCATGGGCAATCCCTCACAGTTCTTTCTAGTTGTTATTCATCCTTTTCATACCTGATTCCGATTCTCGAAGGAGTGTGTTCTTTGGTCTTCCACTTTTCCACTTTCGCTCACGATTCAATATTAGGGCTTGCTTCATGATGCAGTTCGATAATTTGCGTAATATATGCCCTATCCACTTCCAACAACTTTCCTAATTTCCTCCTCAACTGCAAGCTGGTTTGTTCTCTTCCACAGTAGATTGTTGCTTATGGTAGCCGGCCAACGGATATTGAGTATCTTACATGGACAAATATTTATAAATACTTGTACATTTTGATGATGGTTGTAGTAGTTCTCCACGTTTCAGTTTCGTACAATAGAATTAAATGTCGTGACATTTGTATTGAATATTATGACCTTCATTTTGGTCGGCAGCTGTTTTGAGTTTCATCTATTCTTCACTGGAGGCCTATACTTTGCCAATCCTCTCCTTTGCGTCTGCATCGAATCCTCCTTGTTCATCAATGATGCTTCCTAGATTCGTGAAACTTTTCACTTCTTCCAGAGTTTTTTTATCCAGTGTGATTGTGTTGGTATTCTCCGTGTTGTATTGAGGGACCTTGCTTTTTCTTTTGTGTATGTTGAGGCTTACTGATGCAGACAGAAGCTACTTTTAAACCGGATGTCTTTACCTGGGTTTGTTTGTGTGTGTGGATTAAAACAGCTAGGTCATCTGTGAAGTCCAAGTCTTTTAATTGATTATGATCTGTCCATTGTATTCCGCGCTTCTCCTCAAATATCAAGGTCATCATAATCCAATCAACCACTAGAAGAAAGAGGAAGAGAAAGTGTAAGCAGCCTTGACCGAATCCGGTCCTCATTTGGAATGTATCTGTCAGTTGTCCGCCATGCATGAATTTGTAGTGTAGTCCGTCGTATGAATTCCGGATGATTTTGACGATCTTCTCAGGCAAACCATAATGTGAAATGTAACGGTCGATTGGCAATATCTTAGTCAGTTGAATTTGAACATATAGAAACAGTTTCATGTTTACTTTGAATGATCAAATTTCAAATTCGATGTGCAGATAGTAACTTCTATTACGATCCCATTCTTATTCTGATCACTACATATAGTGTTTGCTAATCATCAGAATTGGATAATACTATAATTCAATTTACTTCATCTTCATATACGTACCGACCTGAGCATGTTTGATTGCCAGACTGACTGATTAAGATTGTAGAATTTTTGTAGTTGAAATCATGAACTGATCTTAGCTAAACCTATGCCTAATAAGCAATCGATGGCAATCGTACAATATCGTGAATCTGTAGTGGTATTTACCATGTTAAACTCATGTAACTTATTCTATCTTCTGAATAGTTCCATTTATCTATTCTTCTTGAGTTACGTTTTGACCTTGTTAACTATTCCTTTATCAACATTGACTGTTTTTATATGAGCGTATGTGTGTACATGTCTTATCTTATTCATCACATGTCTGTAACTTGTTTTCGTCTGATACACGCTTGATTAAATGGAGTTGGCTTACGTGGGTTTGCCACTGCGCGCTATTTCATTTCGCTTCGCTTCCTTCGCTACCTCTTTTTGACTGTTTGTTCCTATCAACGAGTGTACAAAATATACGCATTCAATAATCAATTCTTGTATTTGGCTTATTTTAATTCCGTTATTCATTAGCGCAAGTTTAGTCGATGAGTACATACGAGGATTGGCGACATATATATCTCAATAGCAATTAGATACGATCCAACTGTGGTCAGATATAGGATCATTAAAAGTGGTGAGCTCTACTACGAATTCAACTCAGCAAATTAATGTTAGATAATAACACCGTTATGTTCTGGCTTAGTGAACTGGAGATTAGTTTGCGCGCAAGACCGAAAGTCCTATGCTTGATTCCTATATGCGAGGTCATAGATGATCATTGTTGACTTGTCCTATATCAAGATGAGCATTCTATTCAGTACTTCTAGGTTTTCAATGATATTAAGACTGAGATCACTACAACAAAACTAGCCTGACAATCATGAGGATTTCACAATCCAAGAGAGTTTGGTTAGTAAAATGCACGAAATACATTGTTTACATATGTATTGTAGTTGGAAGACACCATATTATAAAGAAAAGAAAATATTCTATTCATTACCTGTGTAACTTCAGCCTTTTCAATACGTTTCAATAATCTTTCAACTCTTTTCTCTGGAAGTATAGCACGTCCTCGACGAGTCACTAAACTGCTTATAATCTTTGGTACACATTCATCAAAATCACATTTGTTTGTATGATCTGTTAAATACTGAAACAATAAGAAGAAGAAAAGAAATGATCAACAATATCCAGTGATGATTAGTCATATTGTTATAACATCTCTCTGTATAATAATTGATACCAATGAAAACAGAACTATGTTTCCACCGTTGTAAACCTGGTGGTGATCTAACATCAATCGGTTCATGATCTCAATCTAAAAACTTAATAATTTCCGCAATCCCATACTGATATTTACCATGTACTCACCAGTGACTAGCTTTGTGAGGGAATTCTTAAAGTTCTAGTGAGAAGCCATGACCAATGGAGCTAATCCGTATCGGGTAGAGACAGGTATCTACCTCAATATAGTGGAAGATAGTCACGCGATTTCGTGGATTGGTTGAAGTTAGACATTAACACCGGTTGGATGCCGGCCGACTCAGTGGTTAAGCGTTCGCATGCGAGACTGAATACCCTGGGTTTTAATCCCGCATTGAAAGATTTGTTGTATTGGTGTTAATAATGAAAAAATAATTGTGCGTTTAATCTGTGGTGTGTAAATCGTTGACAACTGTCTATTTTGAGATTGATATCAAGGTTAGTATACGACTTATATCTTCTGGAACATTCATACAGTCTATATTAATCCCTTACAATTTAGTTAACGTTTCTTGAAACTTTGAAATAGACTCAAATCTCTATGATGTATGAATTTATTAAAAGTAATTAGATGGTATGTTCTAATAATTCTAGAATGAGATCACTTCTATTTAGGAGAGTTTATGATAATACTATTTATAAGTAGCTAGCAGTGTAATCCAGGACACGCGTCACGTTGTCTTATTTGGGACTCGTCAGCTGATTGATCACTGGATGGTAATCAATGTCATGTATGTCATTGTTTTTCTTAGTGCAAATCGAATCCTGTAATGTAGCCATTAGTCTAGATGACTCGTCATTGCATAAGATGGTGGTTGAAGGTAGTCCACAGGAAACCCTAGACGTAGGTTTCATGCTACCTGTAATTTTGAGGGAATTGATGCTCCCTGACAGATTCGATCCCATGTCATCCAGCTTCACAGTCAAAGACATTACTAACAAGCTTACAAACACTTCAGACACCCAAAAACTAAATCATTTTATCTGTATACCTTGAATAGTGATATTAAATGAATACATTTAACTTACCCATGGCATACATAATCTCTTATTACGTTCTAATGCCAAATATTGTAATACACCACGATTACTTCTTATTACTTGTACACCAGTACGTGTATCTCTTGTCCATCTTGTAATACATAATACAAATGAATGATTTGGACCCCAACGTGGTAATAATCCTTTACCTAATAAACCTGTTCTACCCATTGGATTTAATGGTGCACCTGTTGTTGAATCTAAACGATAACGACCAAGTAAACTTTGTCTACGTAATTTAGCTTTAGAATCATATTGATTAAAATTGATTGTACGTAGATTTTCACTATGTTGAAAAGTAAATACGATGTTTCCATGGGTAAAACTAATCATAATAATGTTATCATGAATTATAATGTATAACATTAATGATACATGTTTAAGTATAATGTATTCAAATCATTTCAAGAGTTCGATAAGGAATCCGTTGAAGAATTCATATGTGGTTTGACGAGATCATCGGTTTGATTGATGAAGAGAAGAAAAGTAATAAGTTGTCTTTAGACACAGATCTATCTGGGGTTTTTTTAATAGAGGTGTTTAATCTTTAAGTACAGAGACGATTCATCATGCAGTTATAGGCAGTCATATATGACTAATTATGCAGGATATAAAGCATAACAGCATACTCATATTATACTTGATGTGTTAGTAGCTGATATTATAATACAATCATAATATGCAACTTCATGAATGATGATTGTGTTAGTCTATGAATGAATTGTATGTATATACAATGAATAATAGATATCATGCATTTAACAAAAGTCGTGGATGCGCACTGCTGAGGAGTTCTACAATGGGACGAAACGGCTGTTCAGTGCTTCCAGGTTTTCCGTGGTGGTCTAGCTTCAACTGACTCATGATCTTAACCATTGAAATTACTATAATATCCACAAAACCCATCCGATATTAATCAACATATGATCAGCAGTGACTGGCTTCACGAGGTATATCCTGGAGTTCTAGTGAGAAGTAGTGACCAGTGGAGTTCAACCAGGTCTGTTGTGAGATAGTAACTCACTGAAGACAATGGTGGATATGTCGCTCGAGTTCGTGGATTAGTTAAAGTTAGACATTAACACCGTCGGATGCCGGCTCAGTGGCCTAGTGGTTAAGTGCTCGGGCGCGAAATCAGTAGGCCCTTGGTTCAGATCTCGCAGGGTGCGAGGTCGTGGGTGCGCACTGCTGAGGAGTCCCACAATAGGACGAAACGGCCGTCCAGTGCTTCTAGGTTTCCCATGGTGGTCTAGCTTCAACTGACTCATGATCATGAACATTGAAAAGTAAACTTATTGACGTTGGATATCTCAAGGCTAATATTTTGCATGATCTAAGAATACTGATAGTATCCAATTAAACTCTTGGAATTATTCAAAATATAAAAGTAATAGAAGTTTTGATCATCTTGTTTTAAGTCCACTTATAATCTAAGACTGTAATGAATCAATTTTCAATACAAATTTCAAGACAGTTCTACTGTATGGAAGGCGGAAACTTGAAGAACTACAAAAGCCATTATCCATGAGATACAAGTGTTTATTAACAGTTGCCTATGCAAAATACTTCGGATCCGTTGGTCAAACACTATCAGTAAAAAATCTACTGTGGAAGAGGACAAACCAGATCCCAGCAGAGGAAGAAATCAGGAAGAAGTGCTGGAAGTCGATAGAACACACATTGAGGCAAGCACCCAACTACGTCACAAGGCAAGTCCTCACTTGGAACCCTCAAAGCCAAAGGAGGAGAGGGAGAGCAAAGAACATATTACGCCGAGAAATGGAGACAGACCAGATAATAATGAACAACAATAAGATACAGCTATGAGGGAAGGCCCAGGACAGATTGGGTTAGAGTATGCTGACCGATGGCCTATTCTCCATTGGGAGTAACAGGCGTAATGAAGTAAAAGTAATCAATGTCTTCAAACTGATACAATATGATCTAGGTACTGAATCGAAATTTGTTTTGTTTTACTATGTAAATTTGATAAACAGTATTACAGTGAACGAAGACTTAAGTGGGTGTTTCATTCATAATCATACAATAGTTTAGCAAAATGTGAATTCATACATCAAATACATCCTTTGCACATCTTGCAGTTTTCTTCTACATCCCTTATGATCCTTTCAATTCTGTTTTGATTCCAGTCCCTTTCTGTTCCCTTCAATTCCTTCATCTCAATATTCTTTTCATCAACATTCTACTTCTGATTGACATTACATACTACTTACATCTATCAATATAAGTAGCATATACTACAGTATTACTTTTAATAAACAATATTGATGGATATTTATTTCATTTCTTACTTCCTTGATTCTATGAATCACATCATCTCAATAAAAGGAAGGACAATATGCTTTTAAATTCTGTGTAATGTAAGCCTTTGAACTGATACAAAACGATACAAAGATCCATGTGAACTAATATGAATTCATTCTATTTTGTTTGATCTCCATCAGTTGCTTACAACCTATAATTGTGTAATGAAGTAACTGAAAACAGATTAATGATAATAAAGGAAGATGTGAGTTGAACTCTGGTTAGCGTCTGGTTAGTTGTCTTCTCAAGATACTCAATATCCGTTGGCCGGCTACCATCAGCAACAATCTACTGTGGAACAGAACAAACCAGCTTCTAGCTGAAGAAGAAATTAGGAAAAGATAATGGGAATGGATAGAACATACATTACGCAAATCATCAATCTGCATCACGAGGCAAGCCCTAATTTGGAATCCTGAAGGGAAACGGAAAAGAGGAAGACCAAAGAATACAGTACATCGGGAAATAGAAGCAGATATGAAAAGGGTGAATAACAATTGGAAAGAGCTGGAAAGGATCGCTCAGTACAGAGTTGGATGAAGAGTGCTGGTGAGCGACCTATGCTCCTCCACAAGGAGTAACAGGCGTAAGTAAGTAAGTAAGAGTTGAACTTCATCAAACCGAACCAAAATTATGAATTGAAGAAAAATGGCGGTCATGTATCCAGAACTTGAGGAAGATTTGAAACAATGAATGATGTAATAAAAGGGATGTAATGTTACCAGGGTAAAGAATGACTTATTACTGCCTCATTTTAGATACATAGATATGATTTTTGACGTTTGATCGCTATAGCTTTGAAGGATTTCAAAAGATTGGAATTTGATTGTTTATTCATTATCTTGAAGGACTTCAATGTATTCATTTGATGTTCTGTATCAAGGAGATGTCTCAAAATGACAATGCTGATTGCTTTTAATCCAATTAAGCTTATGTTCTTTGAATCGAACGTAGGCACTTCTTTCAAATCTACTTATATAACTACTATGGCAGATATATGCGAATTTTTATACGCAGCTATAGCGATCAAAGGTCTAGAATCAGATCTATGTGTCCTAAAAGAACCAGTAATCTGTCTTTGTTTACTCTAGTAAGATTAAACCTACTTTTTACCTATTATATCATTCATTATTTCAAATCTTTCTCAAGTTTTGATTACATCATTATCATTTCTCCTCAATTCATAATTTGGGTTCGCTTTGACTGATTTCAACCCACATCTTTCTTTATTACCGTTAAGCTATGTTTAGTTACTCCATTACAAAATCATCGAGTTGAACAACATGGTAGATAAGATGGATTCACCTAAGAGAAGTTAAGAAACTCTGATTCCAAATCAATAGTGTACATGTTCTCCAAGATCTTGAGGGAACACATGTCTCATAAACCTATTGTTGGCTATCGGCTATCATGGGACTACAGCTCTCCACTGCCTTATGAATTAGACCTCTAGGTCAAAGGCTCAAGAAGTGGCCCCCTGAAAAAATCATCTTCGGTTATTACATCCAGACAGTGTTCTAGCTCTTAGACACAAATCGAATGACGAAGGGTATCACATATATATATTTGGTACCTTCTTGTACCACTATTTATGTGTTTAAATAAAGATTTGAGATTAAGAAGATTGAAATGAAAAGAAGAAGGGGTTTTGTAGAGATTTTAATCATTTCGATTGTTGAGACCATGAAATTAGATCATCATGGAAAACCTGGAAACACTAGATGGCAGTTTCATCCTAGTATGGGACTCCTCAGCAGTGCACATCCACGACCTACCCCCCTCCTCGCGAGATTCGAACCCAGGACCTAAAATATTAATTCATTCATGATCTCAATCAATAATATAATTCAGTTACATACGATATAAGGATGTTGCTATTATGATAGATAAGTAATGAAAGTATTACATGCTAAAAGAAAACACATCATCATGCTCCATGTATTGTAAAATTATAAAAAGAAAAACCCAGCAGGTTAGTAACTAATTATGCAATAGAAAATGCAATGGAATACAGTACACTTAGATAATCATTAAAACATGCAATGAATGAATGAAGAAGAAAAAACAACTTTAGCCTACTTAACACCGTCATGTGATTCTTCTGATGGGAATAATAAAACTTCTTCACAAGCATCATATGCAAAGTAATCTGGATATTCCACCTATTTATTCAATGAAAGTATATGAATAGTGTATAAATGTACAATTGAAACTATGATATAGAATAGTAATAATCAAGTCAATCATATAATTTTGATTGAGATCATGAACCGATTGATATTAGACCATTGTTGAAGACCTGGAGGCACTGAACGGCCGTTTCACCCTATTGTGGGACTCCTCAGTAGTGCGTATCCACGATCACGACCGCGGGATTCTAACCCAGGGCCTTCAGTCTCGCGTGTGAACGCCTAGCCTACTGGACCACTGAGCCGGCATCCAATGGTGTTGATGTCTAACCTCAACCAATCCACGAATCACGCGAACGGGACCGTGGATGCGCACTGCTGAGCGGTCCCACAAAAGGACGAAACGGCTGTCCAGTGCTTCCAGGTTTTCTATGGTGGTCTAGCTTCAACTGACTCATGATTTTACCCAGTGAAATTACTATAATGTTCACAAAACCGATCTGATATTCATGGATTATGTCAAATCCAAAAAGAGACTTAATAGTCTGTCCTTTTAATTATAGTGAGTTTATTTACATGAATAATAACATAGAAGATCCAATAAATCTCACAGATCATACATTTTCAAAAGTATTCAAATCATTCGATTCTGAACCCTGCCTACCACCCAGTAGGGAGTTAAAGAAGGACTTTACATTGAAACTGGGTTTTAAATCAATAATTAGTTGAACTTTTATAACCACAATTAAGAAATAAATTTAAGCTTCACTGAGACTGAAATAGCATGAAGCGGTTACATTTGTAAGTATGTTTGTACTTCTTAGTAAGTAATGCGCATTCACAATTAGTAGTGACAAATGGTCGTGAAAACAAATAAACACTTAGTATTGTTGGGGAGATCCAGAAACGTCCTCACACCTTTTCTCTTGTGTTCAGATTGTGGTTAAGATTAAGTCTGAAGGTTGCTAGAAGAGATTAGGGAAACAAATCTAACGTTCTGTTAAAAGATCTATCACTTATCCAGTTAATATACACGATGAGCATTCATTCATATCCCATAATAAACAAGGATCAAAAAAAATGTCCTCAAAGTAACCAAAACGTGACCATATAATAAGTGAATACAGTCATCATAATAAGTAAACTGTGATTCCATGGGAAATGTGAAATATAATTCGAAAATCATTTGGTGTTGTTTTACTTGTATCTTCCCATTGTTATTTAGGACTGTAAATAATCAGTCTCTTATTGGCATATGTGCATACTGTAAGTATTGCCTCTATATTGCCTTAATTCACAAGCTTTATAGTGGTTAGCAGTGAAATCTAGTTTGAAGTGCGTCACTTCGTCCTATTTGGAACTCGTCAGTTAGATGTACCTGCATCTCAGAGTTGATATCAACTCTGGGACTCGAACCCAGTACCGTTTGCTTCAAACACCATCTCGTTATCCACCCAGCTATTGGGTCTTGATAGCTACCTGCTTTTGCTAACGAGTCCTAAGTAGGACAAAACGTGCGTCTTCGATTCCACTGATAGCCACTGTCCATGTTTGCTTATGATTCGAAACTTTTCAAAATACTTTTCGTCAAATGAATTGATTAAGCTTAATAGTTAAACATCATGTGTTTAGTATAATCAAATGAAAGTAACTATTCATCTAGTGAAATACTTACAGTCCATGCCATTCGTTCCGGTGGTACATTCATTCTCATTCCAGGATATTTTTCAAAATTAAATGGAGCCATTCTCCATAATCGATGATCACCTAATGTTCTTTCGATAACTCTTCCAGTTTTAATATCTGGAACTTGAGGTACTATGACTGGATCGGCTGAAGGATCACCACCTTCTTCTGAACCACTTGAATCATCTTCGGATCCAGGAACAACAGCAGCTAATAGAACAGGTGATTCCCTGAAGAAATTACAGAATATGTTAAATATTTAATACATGATATAAACTGAAATAAAAGTCAGCCTTGGTTGACTATGGTTAGCCTAAAAACTAATCTGTTTATTACCGTATTAATTGATCAGTATTTGGCTGGTTTTATGGACGATAAATGAGATATAGCTAGTCATATGATCACACTAGTTACTGGATTGCCCTAAGTTGTGAATAAATTAATCCTTTTGTACTCAAGACGCCCAACTTCAAGACCAACAAACAGGATTCCTTAAAGATCGATTGTGTACAGACCAAATCGCAACACTACAGATCATTGTGGAACAATCAATTAAATGAAATTCATCATTCTACATCGAATTCTTCGACTACGAGAAAGCATTTGATAGCGTGGACAGGGCAATATTATGGAGGCTTTTCAACACTACAGCGTGCCTGAGAAAATAGTCAATATCATACGGAATTCCTATGATGAATTAAGCTGCAAAATCTTGAATGGAGGACAGCTGACAGACCCGTTCGAAGTAAAGACCGGTGTCAGGCAAGTGTTCATTACAACAGATACAGTGACTTCAAGTGGGACTCTTCATGATTATTGTTTGTTAGTCTTTAATAGAATGAATGAATTATCATCTACTCTCAACTTGTTTACTAATAAAGACACAAAGAAATGAAACTTTTGTTCTGGTTTTATTAGCAAGACTATAATTTATTGACGAACCAATCAGATTGGCGACGATAGATCTTGGATTTTAGCGCGAAATTCATTCCTACATTTGATTAAATAGTCTTAATTCAATAAAGTCATATACATGTACATAAAAACACACTCACCTTGGGGGTGGAGGAGGTGGTGGCGGTGGTGGTGGTGGTGTTGGTGGTCGTAGTACATCTTTAGCTGCTTCTAATGCAGATTGAATAGCTACTTCTAGTTTTGTACGTTTTCTAGTTTCTGCTGTTCCTGAATCAGCTTGAGTTGTAGTGGATTTTTGTACAGGAACAACCTCATCAGTGAATTCATTACATTGACAAGTAGGAAGTTCATTTATTTGTCGAATAATCTAGAAAATGATACAGAACTCAGTTTGTTAAAAAAATCCATCGAGATAATAGTATTATTTCATTAAATACGTCTCAATCATTTATCATCTCTGTGTAATAGTGATAAGCTGTCATCGAAACCATCGTTATCTACATGTGGGCTTGTAGTCACAGTGACGGTTATGTTAGATTAACCACTCTCCAATGATGATTTTGTCTGATTCATATTGATTGTTAGAATATATACATCTCACCCGCATATTCCATGATACGGCCGAGAGTGGAAAGAGTTATCTCTCCCTCTCCAAATGCTCTCATATAGCCACACGCATACAGCCACTGTCGGGGAAGTCCTGCACACTGACTTCTCGCAGATAGGGTATTGGTTGCGAAAATGAGAGGACGAAAATCGAATGTTCGGAGCTTTAAACGGGTTGATGGATATGGAGGATCCACCTGGAAGAGTTGGGAAACTCTAATTCCAAACAAATGGTGCACATGGGCTACGCGATCCTGAGGGAACAAATGGCGTATGAACCAATTATTGGTCACCGGCTATTATGGGACTGCATCTTCTGATGTTGCTCCACTGTCTTGTGGATCAGACCTTTAGGTCGAAAGCTCCGCGTCTGACCCTCTAAGAAAACCACCTGCTTCGGTCTGGGCACCCGGATAGTATCACAGCTCACACATAAATCAAGTAAATTATGTGGCGCAAATATATCATGTGACAATATATCATGCATTTTAACGGTTAATAAATGTTTGTATTTGCATGAAAATAAGTATCATCCCACTTTGTTTGTTGTAGAACTATTTACAGTTTTTATTTATTCTCCAACTTTATGTCTTTCGCTAGGTATTATTTACTGTTTATTTATTTATTTATTTGAACACATAAATATTGGTACAAGAGAGCGCCAATATATATGCGCCACACAAAACAATGGGAATTCGAAGAGAAGTAGAAAGAGAAAAAAAACAGCTAAGGAACGCAAAAGAAAAAGAGAACAATGACGAAGAGATTGGAGTAAGGTAGTGTGGTAGTAACGACGGAACGAAAAGGTACAATCGGAAGAAATCTTTCAGGTAAAGGAGACACAACCACTTTTTATGAAGAAAGTAAAAGAAGGTTACAGCAGGATCGCCATTGGCTTCTATTCTGAGCCATATCTGATAACGTCTCTAGCCACTGTGTAGCACCATCTCTCGGACCCCAACCAGGGAGTCGTGAAGAACCAACACAAGCCAGTCCTTTGCAGCTTTCTTTCATGCCACGACACCATGTCATGCACTGACCACCTCTCCGCTTCTTCCAACCAGTCCCAGAGTCGGCAAATAATGCACGACGTGGAATTCTCTGGGACGACATTCGGAGAACATGTCCAAGCCACCGAAGTCGGTGTTTCAAGATGGTGACACCAATTGAGTTATCATCTCTGTGCCCGAACACACGATGCCGAACCTCTGCATTACTGACATGGTGTTGCCACTGAATGTCAGCAATCCTTCGGAGACAGCGATGATCGAACACAGAGAGTCGTCTAACGTCCTCAACTCGGAGAGACCAGGTTTCGCAAGCATAGAGCAGAACTGCTCTCACCGACGCGTTGTAGATCCGACCTTTCACAGCCAGACTAACATCACGAAGGCGCCAAAGGTGGCCCAGATTGGCATAAGCCGCTCTGGCTTTCACTATTCGTGCATTGATCTCATCACTCACACCTCCACCAGCACTTATGCAGCTACCCAGATACACGAACTTCTCAACTACGTCTATCTGCTCACCGTCCAGGGTGAGTACAGGATTAGAATCCTGCCAGTCTTGTAGAAGTACTTTGCACTTCGAAGGTGCAAAGCACATACCATACCTACGGACATTGATTGCCAACTGATTAAGTGCGGATTGCATGCCTTGGGCATTATCGCACAGTAAGACAATATCGTCCGCATACTCAAGGTCAAGAAGCCTTTCTCCAGGCAACAGATCCACACCACCATTACTTACATTCATCAGAGCTGTTTCCAGAATGTCATCGATCGCAAAGTTGAAGAGGAATGGTGAGATTGGGCAACCCTGCCTAACCCCACTACTCGAATGGAACAATGGAGAGAGGTGGTTGTATGCCCTCACTCTGCCTGAGGTGTTTGTATATAGGGCTTTAAGGATGTTAATAAACTTCTCAGGCACACCCTTCTTCAATAGACAATCCCAGAGAACAGTCCTATCCAACGAATCGAAGGCAGCCCTGATGTCAAGAAACACTACGATTGTTGGCCTTTGAAAAGTATGGCGGTGTTCTAACATTTGGCGGAGGGTGAAGATATGATCAATACATCCTCGACCAGAACGAAACCCAGCCTGCTCCTCGCGAGTCAATCTTTCTCGGGTTTTGAACAACCTACGAAGAATGACGGAAGCCAATAGCTTGGACGCAATCGGAAGTAAACTTATCCCCCGATAGTTGTTACAAGAACGACGTGAACCCTTTTTAAAGATAGGGACAACTATCGACTCATTCCATGACGTTGGTACACTCTCTAGTTCCCAAACCTTTGTAAACAACGTCGTCAATTCCTTAGTCAAAAAGTCACCACCATCTTTAAAAAGAGCCGGAGGTAAGTCATCTGGGCCAGGTGATTTGTAACGCTTCAAGAGTTGGAGTTCCTTGCGGACTTCCTCCTCGTTTGGTGGATCAGTCGTCACCGGCCCTTCAAAAAATTCTGCCCATCGTCCAAGACGTCGATGGATGTTAGTGATTGGCATCCCATCATCCTCGCAGATTGTTTCACTCACACCAGACTTCTTGCTGCCAGTGGCTCGGATGAGCTGGAAGAGCTTCCGGTAGTTACCAGATGCAGCTGCTGCTTCCAGCTCATTAGCACGCATCGACCACCAGGCTTCTCGGTCCTTACGCAAGCTTTGCCCGATTTCCTTACGTAACATCCTTCGTTAATGGTCAAACTCACGGTCACCCGGAGTAGACCGACGGGCTTCAATGAGTTGTAAGGAACCAGAAGAAACCCAGTGCTTAAAAGCGGGACGTTTCGCAAACCCACAACTGACTGTTCCCGCCATTTTCATGGCGTCACGCAATTGCAACCAATGCTCATCTATACTTTTCGGTGGAGTGGTAGCTAGCCTAGAGGCTAGCTCGGTTCGATACTTACTAGCAACAGAAGTTGCAGCCAGCTTGCTAACATCAATCCGTTGATGGCGTTCACTTCGTTGTCCACTGAAAAGTAAGGCAAGATTGGCGCAGACCAAGGCATGGTCAGAGTCCAGATAGGTACTCCAAAAGGAGCGGCAGTCTTTTACACAACCACGCCAGCGGTAGCTGATCGCGATGTGATCAATCTGAGTCCAGGCTTGAGATGCAGAGGGAGGACGCCAGGTGGCACATCGGCGATGACTGTGCCGAAAGTTAGTGCTAGCCAGAAACAGGTTGTGGTCTGTGCAAAGTTGCAGTAGACGGTCCCCGTTATCTGACCTGCGACCAACGAGTCCCCATCGGCCACCTAAACGACTCTCTTCTGTGCCTAGACGCCCGACCTGAGCATTCAAGTCTCCGGCTAGTACTACAATATCTGTCGAACGCACTTTCTGGAGAAGAACTGATAACTGGTGGTAAAACTCATCCTTGATTGCATCCGGGCTGCAATCTGTCGGGGCATAGGCGGAGATGACGAAAAGACATCGTTTCTCACGCCGATTTCTTCTCACTTTGATGGAACTTTCTAATCTAACAGCACATAACCGACTGTTAATGGGGATCCAATCGACAAGTGCTGCCTCAGCTCTAGCGCTTAGTGCGACACCAACGCCAGCAAGACCAGACGAAGATGCCACAGGGTCCCCGGATAAGCGCACGTAAAACAAGCTTTTCGAAGCGACAGATGGAGATCGAATTTGTAGTACTTCGCCAGAGTCTTGAATACGGGTCTCGGATAGACAACACACGTCGATATTAAGACTTTCCAAAGACATAGCCAGCCCTATCTGTTGTCCGACCTGCATAAATGTGCGAACGTTGAAGGCAGCCAGTTTGAATGATGCACGTGGTATCAGAAAATCTGCTTCAGTACTCATAGTCGGTGGTAACATACAATTTTCAACCGGACAGTGACTCGAGAACGTTTAGATACAGTCGGATTTCCACCAAAGACGAGCCGCTGCATAAGTATAAAAGAGGGTGAATAATGTGGAAAATAATAATAATAATGATAATAATAACAATAATAGTAGTAATAATAATATTAGTATTAATAATGACAATAATTGTAATGATAATAATCAGAATCAATTGTTTGATTTTCAAAGCGAGAAAGATAATTTCCATAGGCATATAGAGTTCATCAATTTGTGTGTGGGCTGTGATACTGCCCGGGTGCCCAAACCGAAGCAGGTGGTTATCTTAGGGGGCCACTCCCCGAGCCTTTGACCTAAAGGTCTAACCCACAAGGCAGTGGAGCATCGTAAGGAGATGCAGTCCCATGGTAGCCGGTGACCAACGATTGGTTCATACGCCATTCGTTCCCGCAGGATACTGGAGCCCATGTGCACCATTGATTTGGAGTCCGGTTAAAGCGCCGGACATTCGCTTTTCGTCCTCTCATTTTCGTAGACAACACCCCCGCCACGAGAAGGCAATGAGTAGGACTTCCCTGGCAGAGGCTGTATACGCGTGGCCGTGTGAGAGTATTTCGAGAGGGAGAGCGGACTCTCCCCACTCTCGGCCGTACCAGGGCATTCAGGGGGCATTATTTACTGTGAATGACACTAGTTCAAAATACTTCACCACTACTACTGTGATATGTGCTATTGATGTCGACAGATATAAGTAGTATGTTTGACCAATCAAAAGTGAAATGCCTGGTGGCAGAAAGTTAAGAAGTTCGAAGAAATGAGAACGAGAGCAGTGAATGTCTGATGTGGAAACAAAGGAACAATCAAGTTTGAGACAACTAATTGAAGTAATGATTACCAGATTCTACCAAGATATTCTGTAATATTTTCTTAAAATACACTTGATTGTTTCCACTTGTGCTTTAACCATTTAAGTGGAGTTTTATTCACGGAGGTAGACACTTTGGTCCTGAAGTTTTGATTATTCTTCCTCTGAGTAACATCATCAGTACAATGTTGTTCAGAAGAATAATGAAAGGTAATGTTATATCCCGATAAGAATAATGAATGATTCATATCGCAGAGGCTGTGATTGGTGTTCTGGACTTAACTGACTGTGCTAGACTAGGACTCTAGGCTGCTCGCACGTGTTTCATGCGTCACTGGTTCAATCGATAATTCACTGCTCTCTGATTGGCGGTCTCATTGCGTTATACAATAAACAGAACACACAGGTTCACAAGTTATAACAGCTAACTATTGTCAACTTACTCGTTGTTGTGTTTCAGTCACATTACTGATTACTTCAGATAAATTTGTTAATAATTGTGTTACATCATTCAAACGTGAATCAATATCATTAAAACGTTGAAATTGATTGTCAATCTCTTTGAAACGTTTTTCTAACTCCATTCCAATACCCTGGGAGAAATAGAATAATACAAGAAAAACAACAATGATAATGTTATTATTGGAAGAGAAGAACCCAATCAATTATAAAAGAGGCCAACCACCTCTCGCCTACCTTGTTAACAATGATGCGTTTACTAATCGCTAGTTTAAGATAGATTACTCAAAGCCCTATTATGATACTATTCCTTATGTAATATAACTAACTGTATTAAGAATGAGCTATTTATTCACTAATGACATAGATTAGTTATGGTATTGGATCGTGAATTAGAAGTTGAAAGTATAAACCATTGGATAATGTAATAGCTGTTAACAAACATCTAATTAGTCATAATATCAATAAGTCTATAGTCTGATTTTGTGTGTCAGCATTGATGAGTAGTTTGCAACTATGAAAAACATGAAGTATCCAATGTTCTATGCCTATAAGTGTTATCTGAACTTACATTCAAAATAGAAAACTTGTACAAACACCATAATCATAATGATCAAAACTAGGGTTACAAGAAGAAGGCTCAGAGATTTCTGTCATTTCTGACAGGAAGTTAACTAAAGCTTTATAGTTACATCATCTGTCTCAGACGAAGCATCATTCACAGAAAGATAGCAGTTTAATAAAGACTACAAATAAGTTGAATTACTTAACTATGTATCGCAAGTGAATACAAGTCACCATAGTAGACTAATGTTATATGTGACAAAACTGGAGGTTTAACTGGTTTTAAGCTAATAAAATTGCTTGCTTTTATTAAATCCGCTAAAACGGAATAGTATATACTGGGACACTCTAGTTATATTGTCAAGCATGCTGGTCATATGTTTAAAATATCCCTGATTTCATTTCAGCTAGTCAACATACGTTCATATTGTTCACTGATATTCTAGACAAATTTAGATTATCATTGAATAGTATTAATATTACCTCTGTAACACTGGACATTTCACTTTTTAAATCCATTACTGGTCCTTGACCAGGACCAACACCTCCACCACCACGAAATACCACAGCACGTGATTCAGCTACACCTCTTTTCCCAGTTGCTTTGGTTGATGGTTCTCTTAAATAATCCATAGCTTTCATATGCTCCCATTTGACCATTTCCCTTTCTTTTTTCACATCGGTAAATCGTACACCTTAATAAGTAAAACAAATGTGTACAGAATAGTCAAGTTATAAGTACCAATTCCCCGAAATGGGATGAAAGACAACAAACAAATAGAGAATGTGAAAAAACCTAACAAAATAGTTTGTTAATTCATAACCGTCCAACGAAGGGACAGAACTTTCATGAATTTCTTCTGAATTCAAAAACTTAGGATCATAGGTTCTGAACCTCATCACTTCCGCTAAATGTAGGAGATTGAAAATGACGAAGGTGTATAATACATCGCTTGGAATGATCATAGACAATATCGCTAACTAAATACTCGTTGAATGATATTTTGGAGAAATAGAACTTTGTTATTAGCAGTCAACATCCGAAACTTGGTTTTTTTCATGTTTACGTATATTTCTTTAAAAAACGTCTCAAGCAGTTCATCTCTATCAGTATGCTACTGATAAACTACTACTCATTTAAAGCATCCATTGAGCAGATTATTTTAGCTCTACACATTAAACATGTAACCAGATTTCTTATGTAATGGATGTGTGTCGACAAACAAACGATCTCATTCTAAATAGGCTTCTACTTAAACGAGCTATCATCTTGTAACTGTTAAGAACCAGTTAAAATACATACTGACTTAATGAATAAAGGGATCATATACATCGAATTCACAAGACAATTCAAAGCTACACATAAATAAGTATCATAATTTACATTGATAACCAGAATTGTTAAAAAAAATAAACAGATTGATTTACAAAATGGATTATATTTTGCTGTTTCAGCATTTCTTAAACTTGCGCATTGATTTCCAATAGCTTTATATGCTTCATAGAAATGCCAAACAATAATAATTGGTGGAGCAAGTGGTGATCTATGAACATAATCATTGATCATTTGATATCTTTGATAATTCCAATAGTATGTTGATGCACTCTCTATTTCTTCGTAGGTTTTACTGGAAAAAAAATATCAGTTAAAATGTAGACTACTTATATTTAAAACAGTAGTTCATCTTATAAATAAAAATAAAGAGAAACAGTGTGTCTTATTTTCCACATTAATTTACAATAAATTGAAATCAGTGATAGTTTAATGAGAAAATCTTCAGGTTAACTCTATGAGATTCTTGGTATTAAAACTAAAGATCTCTGTACGATGGTATAGTTTTAATATCATATTCATACCCATATTAATAAACTTGAAGATGCCACAGGTATTTGGAGTTGGACAACACTTTAACCAGTAACACCTTCTACTATGCATCGTATCCACCAAGTGAAATCAAAAGACAGAAGCTAGGAAGTTCAAGTCCGGAAACTCTGGACTCAGGTTTCGTACTACTTAGCACTCGTCAGCAAGGTGTACCTGTAATCTTGAGGGCACTGGTGCTCCCTAGCGGATTCGATCTCGTGTCACCCAGCTACACAGTCAGAGACGTTACCACTGAGCTGTCCGAGCCGCGACCGACCTCTTGTAGGACTGAGATGTAATCACAATTGATTGACCACTGGGTGGTGCTCAATGTCATGCTTGTCTAGTCCTTATTAGTGCAGATCGAATGCTATCGACATGCATGACATTGATCGCCACCCAGTGATCAATCAGTTGTAACTCTCAATGTCAGTTTAGCATCGTTCAAAGGTCGTCCATAAATGATAGTCTCATCGATTGAAACATTATTTCTTTTTTTAAATAGTTACAGAAACTATGACACAGACAGAACTTGTTCAGTTCAATGTGCAGACCAATGAATATATAACTCTCCCAGTACACGCAACTTATTAATTTCTTTGTCTAAACATATAAACATTGATACAAGGAAGTATCGAATACATAAATGCCACATATCGTCATTCGATTTGTGTGAGAGCTGAAATACTGACTGGCCACCTAAACGGAAGTAAGTTGCTATCCTAGCAGGCCACTCTCCGAGTCTTTGACATACAAATCTAATTTATAAGGCAGTGGAGCAACGCAAATTGAAGGATGAAGACATGTACGTACAAATGAAACGACTGGAATTTATAAAAATAGTATTTACTCATAATATCTGAATCTCAATCGTTATATAGCTCTTAATTAGTGGTGGTTAAACAAACTCTTGTAATATGGTAACCTGATAAAATTGTAATGGAAATCAAAACATCTGTCAGCCAACATCAAGGTTCGAATCTTTGATACGAACGTCAAGATAGTTCTACTATATGGAGCTGAAATTGAGGGCGGACATCAAAAGGATGAATAGTAATTGTAAACAACTGGAAAGAATTATCCAGAACATAGTTTGATGGAGATTCCAGGTGGACAGCATATGCTCTTTCACGAGGGGTAACAGATATAAGTCAGTAAGCAAGTAAGTAAACAAATAACAATTTGTAATGATTACACTTACGAAAACATGGCAATAAGTAAGTTGAACATCAGTATATTAGTTAATAACACATAGAATCCAAGCATAATAGGTACAAGCCAACGTGATGTTTTCGTAGGGCACATATGATTTTGACATGTTCGATCTATTCCATGAATAAAAAAAGTGGAAATTATTCCACTGTATTGTTACTAGTACTAATCATAACAAAATAATGAGGAGGTTGGCTAGCAACTATTAACTATTACACTCATGGAATGTATATTGTCCTAGTTACTTTCCTAACAGATTAGATCATTACAGATTCTTTAGACTAGGAAGTCATAACTACACAGAAATGTACATTTATAGTTCAAGTGATATCTGGTAAGCTATTTAGGTTGATTACTGTAAAACATATGAAGAACTTCTTTGTATATCAAGACTTATCTATCAGTTTTCCAATATGAATATACTAACCTGTATTTGGAGTAGTAGCCAATATAGTGGCGAAGATTTGTAGCTCAGGTGGATGATTCTAATGGAGTTTTTCTCTGAGCTGGATGGTTTGGTTGTGGAGCTTTCGTCTTCCTTCCAAAAGACATCACCAGAACTAACTTCA